GTCAAGTCTAGCATTGTTTTCGCTGCACGGTGACTCAGACGAGAGCACTTCGGTACACTTCTTTCCCACTATTCGGACCTATATTTCAGAAGTGCTTGCATTAAGTAAAGGAAGCGATTAGAAAGAAAAGAAAGGAACGAAAAAAGACGAAAGTCGGCTATCCGAAGCAGGACACGAACGCGAGTGGACAACGCGGCCTGTAGGGACGCGGATCGATGGCGTGCGCGCTCTGCAACTCTGCAGGACGTCTGCGTTCCCTAAAATCATTACTTCTTTTTGCGACACTTCCATTGTCTGCACTCTCGCCTATGACTTAGGATTCTCGTTGAGCGGCAACTTGAATGTCCATTATCCTTGCAGGGATATTTGTATTTTTCTCAAGTATAGAGTTGCATAGTGGTTGGTTTTGTGTATAGTTAAAAGCAAACAAGGAACAAGGAGAAACATCATCATTACTTTTCTTAAATTTGCGGAGGAATTCCTTGTTTGGAAGTTGGATAGTAGTCCTATATTGTCACAGCACCGGTCGCCAAACTTTCTAAAAGGTTCCTTTTAGACGAAAGTCTGCTGAATAGAGGCCTATTAAAAAAAACCGGTATTTTTACCTTTGCCGCACATCTTCCCTCCGATGTTTTGTTTTGTATCGAAATGGAAAGGCCATTCTATCCATGCTCAACAAATCTTTCTCGGAAATGATACGAAATTGCGAATTTTTATTTATCTGACAAAGTGAACCCTATCCAAATAGGTGTACATTTTTATAGTTGTATTAAGATGAATTGCCACATCATCTCTCTGATTAAACGAGCTGCACCAAGAAGTCTGAGATTTTACAGTTGTGAAGTGGCGACGAGCACTGCCACAAATCATAGACGACGCACTGTTCCCAATGGTATGCCACTGAATCTAAGCTCCAAATACTTTAGAGACTTGATTTGCTAACAAATTCTCCAAATTCAGATGGACTTAAAATTGACCATTTTCTCAAGCAAAAAGTTCGATTACCAAAGATATCACCAACAGTAGCAGAGACAAGCTATCTTGATCCTGAGGATATTTCTGGTCTTGGTCGAAAAGGCAAGTGCAAGTAAATGAGTTTTTTCTTAAATTTATAGTTCTCTGTCTATTTCGATTTAGTAAAATATGTTACTTATGGTTGTCAGATGAACGTAAATGATATGGAAGTTGTTCGGTCGCTGTTAAAGAGTAACGACTACTTTGAAACGGACGACTTGTTAGAGGTGAGTTTATTAATCAAACAGTAATGTAGCAGAGGTGGCAAATTTTCAGGCTGACGTAGTGGTTTTGATAACTTGTTCAATTCGTGAAGGAGCTGAAGATAAAGTATGGCGAGAGCTGAAACGGATTAAACATGTAGCACGGCGGAAGCCAATAGTGGGAGTACTTGGTATCTTTTAAACTAGCTTCTCACTGGCTCTTCCATACCATCTTCACCTAAAATTATGTAATTTGGTTAGCAAAGAAAGTTTTCTCAAAGGTTGTATGGCTGAACGAGTACGACATGGGCTACTGTCGAAGAAAGGACTGGTTGATGTAGTAGCAGGTTGGAAACCCTTT